TTACGGGTACGGGGTAACGGGACGGTACGTAGTAAGAACGACACTACTACTCTGTACGTATCTCTCGTGTGTGTGTCGTTCGGTTCGTGCTCTCTCTCTCTCTCTCTCTCTCTCTCTCTCTCTCTCTCTCCCTCCCCCCCCCCCCCCTCCCCCCTTTCTTTTTCAAAACATTATGTGGAATTGTTGTCACTTCTTTGGAGATTTTCTCTAAAGTTTCGGAAAAATGGAGAGTGCAGTTGTGCTTATTTTCTATTATTAATTGTCATGTAGAAAGGACTGCATGGCACCAATGCACCATTATGTCTATTCCTAGTCCAATAAATTATTAGAACATACATGGGAGTGAGAAGTGTAAACATGTTTTGTAAGACAAATCTAATGCTTACTCTTCTTCTAAACCATGTTTTTTTTGAGGTATAGATGAACATGCTTTTGGTCTATTAAGGATGAGGGCCTTAACATGTCCCAACCTTAGGTAAGGTAGGTGGATTGTGTTAGGTAGGCAGCCAGTGTATAACTTTGCCATATTTTACCATGAATCTTGAATCTACATTATCTGCTCATGCTAGAAGGTATGACCCTTTATAGAGCAGAATGGTGGAATATGATTCGTGTAGCCAACTTCAATTAGTTGGATAAGGCTTTGATGATGATGATGATAATGATGAGGTAAACATGATTTGTTAAGGTAAAGCTAGTCAAGAATGCCGATGATCAATTCCAGGGGAACTAATCAGACTAATTTTATTAGGTAAAGTCCTCTAAAATGTGACATAACCAAAATCTGAAATCTGTTGATATGTAATTGCTGAGAAACAATATTTTGAGATGTGAAGATTACTGTATATCATGTAAAAAATGTCAATCATATTGCTAATGTAATTTTAAAATATGATAAAAGTGATTATTGGTTCTAGGTTCTGCTTTGGATGTTGTGTTATACCCTGTCCCCATAGGCATGAAAACTATGCTTCAGTGGTGCCATCTATCTAAATATATTATTGCCTTTGAAGATCTACTAATTCTTTTTTTTTTTTTGCATGGATTTAATGGCAGTTTAGGAACCTTATTTGTTTGACGACTGATGGTCTTCGATCTCTCTTTTACGCAAGCTTGTCTTGGCCTTCTAAGTTGATTCTTGTCACCAAAACATACCCTTTCTTTTACTTGATTGAGGAAATTGTTAATTCAAATCTGACACCATAGTGCTTTAGCCCATTAACCGTAACTGCTAAGTCAACAGCCCCAAACTTGTATTCCTTTTATGGACTTGGATCTCTCTGTTTGGCGAGTATGCCTTGTTGCTAAAACATACCCTTTCTTTTACTTGATTGAGCAAATTGCGATTCAAATCTGACACCATAGTGCTTCAGCCCATACACCACTAAGTCAAGAGCCCAAAGTTGTATTCCTTTTATCCATTCACGTTTCATCCTATTCTTTAACTATAACTAGTGCTTGAGAGCACATATCCATGTGAGTGACTGAAAAATTGTATGCTTCCCTTCTAGTTAATTTATAATTCTTTACTATCACAAATTTGTGTGCAGTTGGAAACATATATAGCTTACATTATAAGAAATATGTTTTTATGTATTCTGGGTTGTGACATATAGAAGGTATATCTAGCATTGGTCTTCATTTTTTCATTATTTGAACTGTAGCTTCTAATAAGCTTCTTATTGCTATCTTAAATGATAGCTATCTCATGTACCTGATGTTTAGATGGAACGACAAATTTTGCTCATGGTTACCCCAGCTTTGCAGTATCAGTGGGAGTTCTCTTCAGAGGAAGGCCTGCAGCTGCTGCTGTGGTACTCAAATTTCTCTTCTTGTACCCTTAATTCTGATTGAATTGTACTGTTATTATGCAGTTTAAGTACTAGAATTAGTTAAAATTACTAATATCTAAAATAATAAGTGCATCTTTTATATATATATTTTTTTGAAACTGCATCTTTTATCTTCACGCGCTTCTTTTCATTTTGTTATTAATGTAATCTGAAGCCATAACGCATGGTTATTTATGTTGGCTTGTAAATATGTGGCTAGTGCTGTTGATGCATCAAGTTGATTTGTCAATATGGTAATAAAAATATTGATTTTTTAAAAAGCTCGAAAAAGTAGCTGATACATGATGAGTAGAAAATGCAGCAAAACGGAAATCACCAAAGGTGGCCGAAAACCCCCTTGTAAAATTTATGACTATTTTTTTCCTTCGACATTAAAAAGTCTGAGAACCTTAGCCTTGTACTTTTCAAATTACTTAACCTTCTCTTATGATTTATTAGGTTGAATTTGTAGGGGGCCCTATGTGTTGGAATACACGTACATTTTCTGCTGCCACAGGTAACATAACTTTTATAAGTTGCAATTTTGTTTGTTACTTTCACAAATGCTTTAGGTGCATTGAACTAAAATATATGCTTTCAAATTTTTAGGTGGTGGAGCCTTTTGTAATGGTAAAAGAATTCATGTTAGTGCAACTGACCAGGTAGATCACGCATTCCTTTTGAAAGTTTGAATTTATGGTGTTACTTTGACATTTTACTACAAACATTTGAGATATCTTACAACAGAGGATAAAGAGGTTGAAATTATTAGTAGAACAATATTATTTGGAATGTGTATTTGGCAAATTTTTTAAAATCATTTTAGAAAGTGTATTGGATGTCTAGTAGCTTGTTTTTTATTGTTCTCAGTTTGACTTGGCCCTTATGTGCAGCATGAGCTGATGTAAAATTTTAGGGAGATCAAAATTAGGGTGCCTTCTATTATCCACACACGCATAGACACAATAGACACACATATGTATATATAATATGTATAATTTTGAGCATAAACAGTAGCTGTACCTGTGCTGTTTATACTCAGATATTTCATTAGGTTAAATAATGACATTTCAACTTGTAAATATGTTCCACATTTCTTAAAAAAAAAAAAATGTAAATATGTCCGTATGTTAAATATATCTTTTATCTTTTTCTGGGTGAAAATATCTCATATAGATAAAATTGGGTAACAGGTGGAGCAATCTCTGCTGGTGACCGGGTTTGGCTATGAACATGATGATGCATGGGCCACCAACATTGATTTATTCAAAGAATTTACAGACATCAGCAGGGTATATTGAGTCATTAAGTGTTTTTTTATTATCTCGTGCTCTAATTTTTTGGAGTGCTTGGGTAACCTGAGTGTTTTGCATGACATTGTTCAGGGTGTTAGGAGGCTTGGTGCTGCTGCTGTGGACATGTGTCATGTAGCTCTTGGTATTGTAGAGGCCTATTGGGAATACCGCTTGAAACCATGGGACATGGCTGCTGGGGTCTTGGTAAGACCGTCTATATGAAGGAAATTTTCAGTAACAATTTTACTATGTATTGCAATAGTTAGAAAGTTATATTGTTATTTAGTCTCCTTTGTGTACTTGTTAAACCTAATTTTGATATTGACAATTTTGTTTTGCATTCTCTACTCTTCCCATACTTGTTGAACATGTGGGTTATTCAGTGATCACCTTAGGTAGAGGTGCATCTTCACTCAGTCTTTGTAGTAAGATATTGTATAATATTTCAATTGGCTAAAAATCAAGCAATTTTTAACTCCATTTTCGTTTTGAGTAGATGCTGAGGAACATGTATATTTTAGGAGTTGCTTGGCTCACATTTGAAGAGCTGTATGCTGCATTATGAGAAGCTATTAAAAATGTTGGCATTTTTGTTTATATGTTCTAAATAACGTATTTGAAATGGTGTTTCATTGGGCTAAAGAAGTTTAAAATATGCAGTGTAAATTTGTACTCGTAACTTGTAGGCCTCAAGACGATGCCTACAACTCCAGTTTGAAAAAAAGATGATGCCTACAAGTTATCACACATTTGCAGGGACCTTCAGGTCTCATGGCTGCATATTTTCAGGGAAGCTGACAAAACTGCTGATCTTTTGGCTAGGGAGGGAGCTCTTTCTGCCTCCAATGTGGGAACTCTGCCAACCTCTTGAGCATCTTGTTCCCCTGGATCGTACTCACAATGCTCCACTGTTTATCTTTCCTTTTGCTGTAAAACATTTTTTGGGCCCTATGGGGTTTTCGTATAGGGCACCCATGAGAATGGTTACCTCACTTTTTGTACACTCCTTATTACTCAATACAAAAGTGAACATATTAAAAAGAAAACTTGTAGGTGTCAAGATGAACCGTTGGGTTTATAGAATATTTTGGCCTTAATGCTCGTGTAAATTCGGTGTCCTCTATATCTATTGTCATGTTCTATTTTTTGAATGTCTACGGATTTTGCATGCAATAGTTTTTAGATTATTCAAATGGGAATTCTTCATGTTCATAGTTGTGGCGGTTCTTCCTGGTTGAAATGCTGTTGCATATTTGTACTTCGAGAAAGTGTACTCTATCTAATCTTGTGGGCCATGAAAGAATCATCATCCACTGGAGCCATCACTGTCCAATAGGTGATAAATAGTGATGAATTATTGGACTATGGTTTACCACAGTTCATTAAGATTGTAATATTCGTTTCTCTATTCCAATTTGTCTGCTTTCTTATTGTCCCTTCATTGCTATATTGTGAACAGATAGTTGAAGAAGCCGGAGGGAGCGTTACATGCATGGATGGAGGGAACTTTTGTGTTTTTGATCGCTCTGTTCTGGTCTCTAATGGTGCGCTGCATGGAAAGGTAGGTGCAAATATCAAACCTTTTTTTTTTTCCTGGTAACATAAAAGGAAACCTACTTTCTAATTCCAAAATTCACTCTAGTGATTTACTTTATACTAAAATCCTGAGCTGTTCTAAATTTGAATCCTAATTTTTTTTTATAATGTTCACGTTTGTATTAATAACAAGAAACTACAGTATAAATCATGTGTATATAAACACATATACAACAGAATTTGAATCCTAAATTTTGCAAACAATACTTTTCTTTATATGCTAAATCCTATTCCTGAATCTTAAATTGCATTTCTACTAACATGTTTCTAAGTGCATATAGGAATTTTAGTACCTTGGTTTTCTCATACAATAAATTCTAATCTTACATTAGACTATAGCAGAATGGCAGACCAGGATTTGTATAGCTGACCCCGATTAGTTGAGAAAACGCTTTAACGTTGACGATGATGATACTAAACTATAGCAATGCCACGCTTTTTGTAATAAATGCTTTGTGCATCCTTGAGAGATTTGAGAAGTTCGAGTCCAAAGAAAGTGGCTTGAGCATTTCATCTCCACTTGTCCATTAGTGGGTGCTAGTCTGAGTACCTCTCCAGCATGATTTACTTCTAGATAACCAGAAGGCATGACCCACAAGATATAAAACTAAGAAATAATACGCAATGACCATTATGATCTAATGCACATTCGCAAAGGTCCTCTCTCTCATCAAGGTTTGCTTCTGCATTGGGTTTTTCTGGTTGAAAGTTATATTACATGTTCTCAGACTGTCTCTCAAGGATTTTATTGCTTTTTGTTTCCTGATTGAGTAGTATTTTCATGTAACAAGAACCAAATATTAAGACACTTACACTAAGCGTGTTGTTTGACTGTTATTTACATTATTGCTGAACTTGTTTCTTATGCAGCTTCTTGAGAGGATTGGCCCAGCTACAGAGAAGCTGAAGAGCAAGGGTATTAATTTCTCCCACTGGTTTAAGCCAGAGAATTACAACTCCGATGTTTGATCGAATTTTGATTAGTTTCTCTTTTCAAGGCCTGCTGGTGCCTGTGTTGATGTTGGTGTTGCTCCATAGTATTTCAATTAATTGAACAAGATTCAAAAGCTTCCAGGTACTTTGAATTCCTCCGTACGTGTTATTACATTATCATGAGCATGCTAAATTGGCATGAGATGCAGAGCCCATGCATAAACGTTGAGAATCCATGTTGAAAATGATATAGGTGGTATCTCTCTCCAGTTTTGCTTAGGATATGATGGTTAATAGCAGAGTTATCAAGACCTGATCAGAGAGGCTAGGCAGACTGTTTAAACCTCTGTTCGACAAACTGGCCGGGTTGAACTGGAACTGGCCTCTGGCCGGTCTGGTTTTAGCTGGTTTTTGTGGTGAAGTTCCAAGAAGTAGAAAAAAAATAAAAAATATCATTAAAAATAAAAAAAATAAAAAACTTATATATAATGTGGTTTCTAATGTTTCTATTATTGTGGCTGGAAAGTGTTTGGGCCATGAATACTTACTTCTACATATTTCCCTTTTTTCTGGATTATTTCTAAAGTACGCCTGGATTATTTCTAAAGTACCCCTGGATTATTTCAAAAAATACCCCTGTTCACAAATTCCTTTTTCAAAATCCATTTTTTCACGACTTTGTAAACTTTAGATGTGTTTAGTTTAAATTTACTCTTAACATAATTCTCATTTTTTTGGATTTATTTTTTATTTTTAATAATTTTTGGCCAGGCCAAGACCTAACCACACTGGTTTAGACCACCGACTGTGTTCTTTGCCAGTCCAATAAAGTCTCAAAACCGGTGTGGGTCCACAAACCAGTCAATATCAGTTATCGGTCTTTGATCAGTCCCAATGGTTAGACCACCCGGTTTTGCCTGTTTGTGTCACCATCATCTTAAGCATATCATATCTTTTTTAAGCCTTTTTTGGTGAATGCATTCTGTTTTCTTTTTATGTTGTTAGCTCATCTTGGCTGAGGTCTTTCGTTTCCTCAAGTCCTCTTTTAATGGCTTTACTTTTCCCTAATATTCTTTTACATTTCTTGTGCTATCAACAAATCAAATCTTGCTCCTCCATTATAGTTTCCTAATCATCCGCGATTTATTAACAATTTTGTTGTTCCTTATAAATCCTTCCACACAGTCACTCTCTCTCTCTTTCTCTCTCTAAGGTTTCAATTGCAAGCGATAATTTCTTACCTGTAGCTTTTTGCTTATCCTATATGTCTCCCTAATTTGTTAGGGTTTGAAAAGTTTCCAGTTTTTTAATTTAGACCAATTTTAGTTAATTTTATAATTTAATGAATAACTTGGTATTCTTCAGTAATTTATTTTAAAAAATAGGCAGGTTCAACTGCTGACCGAATCGGGCAACTTGTCGGTTCCACCTCTATTCCAGTCCTGGTCATATTGGTTAATAGTGAGGAACCACTCATTCCTCCATTTCATGGAATGATCTCTCTCTCTCTCAACATCAGTGTTGAGATCATCATTGCTGGTATATGTGTTTGTGGAAGAATCACGGCTCAGATCGAATAACCATACGCCCCCTTTGAGTGTGTGAGCGTGCACACGCCTGTGTGCATGCACGTGTGCACCCACTTGTGTTTTATTGAGAGAGAGGACTTCTGAAAATATTGTCTTAATTGAATATTGTCCTTCCACATTCCAGTTTTGGGCAGAATAAGGGAACTAATATGGTGGTCATTTGTATTGTCCACTAGAGAAAATGTCCAGACCACCCATAGGTGTGTAGGCACATCAACATTAAGAGATTTGGGGATACAAGACAAAGGAAAGAGGTAAGATAATACTCATCTTTCCTTGAGAGGTCTATCATCTCATACTTGTGTTCTAGGCTCTCTCTCTAGGTGATCTAGTTTGACATAGTTTCAATCTGGATCGTTGGGTTTATTCTATTCTATTAGGTAGTGGGCTGTCACGATTATAACCTTGAATCAAAAGCTCCACCTTTCTTGTAGCCCTCAGTTCTAGAAAGAGAAACTAATTATATCCTCTTCCATCGCTTCCCAAACTCAACCACATTTTTTAAGGGTTTTCTCTCTTAAGCCTTTTGGGTGCGATTTGTACACCTTGAATGATAAGCCTGCCTTTCCATTGTCTACCCTCTATCTCCATGAGAGAGAAACTCAACTCCCCCTTGGTTCCCTTGTGCACATGAAACTCGCCCACAGTAAGGTGCATCCATTTCTCTCTCTCTAACTCCTCCATGTTTTGAGTGTGTTTTTTCTCTGTCCCACCTGGATATTTGAGGCACAGAGTGACCGGCTTGGAACCCCATCCATGCGCCCCCTCCCTCAACTTCACAGTGAAGGACACTGTGTAGTCGGTATCTGGAGTGAGGTGAGAGGTTTCCATCTTTCCATTGATCTCTAGCCAACAAACTTCCCTCAACTCTGCCACTTCAATATTTGGATAACTGCATATGAGCAAAATACATATTATTGAAGTAATTTCATGTCCAGAGAGCGCATACAAATCTCTCTCACGCATATTAACACAAACATTCTAACATGCACTCGGTGCGGCACTTATTCGTACCAAGCTCTGTAACAAAGAGGGACGGGGTAAGGGTGGAATGGGTTGGGGTCAGGTCCAGTCGACCCTGACCTGACTAGTTATAAGTTGGACCAAGACTAGGGTCCCTGTTGGGTCCAATCTATAAAAAAAAATAAAATAAATAGTATTATATTTTATATTATATATTTCATATTACTAATATATATTTATAATATATACCGGGTCTGGTCGACCTTAATCTGGACCCAACCTAACCTGACAAGATTTCAGCTAGAGCTGGATCCGGATCCTACTGGGGTCAAGTTAATGTCAAATGGACCCATACGTGACCCATCGGGTCCAAATTCTAGGTCCAAAACCGGACCTAGTGGGGTAGACCCTTACCCAATTCCTACCGCTAGATGAGGGTGGACCATTCAAGAATTTTGTTAAGGTACTCAAATATGGGTTGTGGTGGCAAGTGATTTGAGCATTTCTCTTGTATGTGTCTTGCAGTTGGAAGGATGATCAGTGCGAGTTTATACCTTGATTCTTGATGGTGAACCCATCGCCAGTAACGTTGGTCCTCGCCCCAAACAATCCAGAGGTCTCTTGCAAACAAGAAGAAGCAGTTGCCACCCGATTCCTCATCAAACCAATATTTCTGCAAATTAAAAAACAGTTTCTAAATGTTTATCAGTGGCCAAAAACTCGCCTCATGCTCAGAATTTGGCACATGCTGGATGAGTTACTCGGACGAGTCCGAGTGGAGTAGCCTGAATATGTACGAGCTCAAAATTACAAAATAAAAGTCTGCAGCATTCACAAAAATAAAAGGGGTAAAAAGCAAAAAAGTTAAAACACAAAAGTCATAATGGAATATATATTTAAACATCATTATTATGAATTTAGTAACAAAATAAATGATTTTATGAGTTTCTTTATATCCCAATTTGTATGTTAAGCTTGCCATTGTAGGCGGCCTAGGTCGTATAACTCAACCGAGTGGAGTACACTCGGCCAAGTTCAAAACTTTTGTCTTTATGCAACTGTTTCTCTTTTGTTACTTCTTTTTCATGCTTTTCTTTTACCCAATAAAATTAAAAGCATGATATGCCCTTGTGTAATGTAGAAACAGATAAATCTGTTAGTATTAGATGTGACTTAAGTGTCGAAAAAGCCAAACTCTAACTTGGCATTTCAAACACAATATATTTATGTTCCATCGAGGGAAGAAGTGAGATTTTAGATGACATCAAGTATTTTTTACATAGTGATATTAAAAGGAGAGGTAAAAAAAAAAGTGTCAAAAATTTTAAAATATCAAACAGAAGTGTCTTATCCTAAAAACTATTAACATGATATGTAGATGGGCACCAACCTTTTTCTTATTGTCAAGGAGTAGCCCTGAATAGAGGCATGCATAGAGCTCTTCAACACTTGTGCAGCGCAAGGGAGTGGTAGCTCCAGCTATGATGTTCTTGTAGTCATGGGGGTATCCCCCCTTTATGCTCCCCTTTCTAGGCCTTATAACCACACCTTTAATGAAAAGACCACTTTTCCATCTACTGTCTTGGGTGTGCATCATAGAGAACTCTATGTCTCCTTTTTCTTCTACTCCATGGTGGAAAGCACCCACATGAATCTCCATCCACTTTCCCCTCTCCTTTTCTTCTAAGTTTTGTGTGTGTGTTTTCTCCATTTTGTTGGCACAAGTGAGGCTAAGTGTGACATCTTGTGCTTCCCACCCAAAAGCTTCCTCACCCAGCTTCACAATGAAAGCGACAATGTAGTCTATGCCTGGAGAGAACCATGATGCATCTATCTTTCCCCTCACCTCAAACCAGCACACATTAAGAAGCTCGGCTATTTCGATCTTTGAATGGCTATGAATTAAGAAGAAAAATAAATAAATAAATAAGTTCCGTCTGTCCATTTCAATTTGCTTGGCATCCTGGTGAGCCTGGACCTGAGTTTGGCCAGTTTAAATATTTCATTTCTTGAGGCTCATTCTAATCTATCTAGAAAAAAAAGTTATGTAGGGCGATAACTTTAGTAATCTACACCGTTCAGTTTATGGGTTAATGTAGATTTGACAATGCCCAACTGACACATCAACTCTACATCCTCCAATTAAAATAGAAGGTGCAAAATACCACAGCCATATTTCTGCAATTAACGATGCCATCTTATATAAACCGCACCTATTTTATCATACACAACGTTGTTTTGATCAGTAATTTAAGTACTTTTATAATGTGATGTCAAGAGCATAGGTCAAGAAAAAGTGTCTAAATTTCTAAAATATTAGACAAGAGTATCTTATCCACGTTGTCGTACCCAACTTGGGCTCGGGATTCTAGCGGACCCAGTTCCTTGTTTTCTTACACTGCTTACCAGAAAACCAGAAAATCTTAAACCAAGTAAACCTTAACAATATTTCTTCACCTTGTTTCCGCCAACCGTATCCAACGCCAATAACGGCCATCTTCACCCCATACAATCTTTAAATCTCTTGCAAATAAGATGAAGCAATTTCCTCTAGATTTCTCATCCACCCAATATCTCTAAAAAGAGCCAAAACAAGTAAAGAATTCAATTGATGAACACTATGAACGCTAATTCACCCAAATACAATCATTTTATGATTAAGGAAACAATAAAAATTCTCACACATAGGTGATGCACCTGTGAAATTCCACTCTTTTACAAAATTTGTACAGAACTACTATATATATATATATATAGAGAGAGAGAGAGAGAGAGGGATACTCTCACACCTTCTTATGACTGCTTAAGAAAAGACCAGAGTAGAGAGAGAAAGAGACTCACCTTCTTCCGAGTGCTCAAGAAAACACCTGAGTAGAGGAGTGTCCAAAGCTCATCAATGGTCTTGGGGTGTATTTGTGAGTCTGCCTCGGCCAAGATGGCCTCATACTTATGCGGCTGCTTCTTGTTGCTTTGCCCATTTTTGGGATCTCCCTCTCTCTCACTTGATTTCTCTCCATTATTCCCCCTATTCTCTTCCTTTCTCTCACCAGGACTAGTGCCAACTGAGCTCCCTTGTCCCATTTTTCTGAAATATTTTTGAGGGATAGCCCACGGCCTAGGCTGCTACAATAGAGCAAGAACAACATTTATAATCCAGAAAAGTATACAAGGAGGTATAAGACGTCGCAATCACTCTTGTTCCTAAATGAAACTCTTATAACCACTTCATTTGAAATCCTGACGGACAAGAGTGATTATAATTTCTTATTCCAAAAGTAAATAGTCTATTTGTTTACTTCTCTGGATTATAAATTTGTTCTTGCTATATTGTAGCAGCCTAGGCCTAAGGCTATCTCTCAAAATATTTCAAGAAAAGGGTGTGGTTTGTATAAGGCCGAGGCTCTAAAGAATTGAAGTAAGGCACACCTTTAAAAATAGTCGAAAGTTGTGGTTTCAATACTAGAAACCTTTGTGATGGCCTAAAAATTTATTTCATATCTAATTAAATAAATTAAAGCATAAAAAATGGTGCAGATCACGTAAATCTATAAACACTTAGAAAATCTTGGAAATTGACAATCCAAAAATGCATTACAAGATCCATTTTTTCTCATGCCCATGCATCTTGAAATCCATATGATCAATTTGAAAATTTTTTGGGCATCAAAACATCTTTTAGTGAAATTTTTGAGGTGCGCCTTAAATTGAGGTGCGTCACCTTTATATAAACTTTTTCCATAATTTTTTACATAACCCAATACAATTTTTAACTATGACAAAGTGCCTAGTTGCGCTTAACCTAAACAATGCCCAAAGCATTTTCCACGAAATGTCAAAAATAGCCATCACTTGGCCAAATGGAAAAATACCCTATCTGCCAAAAAGCAAGATGAGTTTTACAGGCAAGAAGCATTTTCAAGTTCCATGTAGGGGCATAATTGCCTTACCTACTGTTTTAAATTTTTAATTATACCCTAGAGAATTAAAAAAAACACAAGGGAAAGTTGTTGTGCTTTGATGATACTCTTGCCAAGTGAAATATGCGCGGAGATAAAATCGAACAAGTGCTCCCATCATCATTGAAAAGGAATAGTGTTGTGCTTTGAGCTTACGCTTGGTGAGTGAAAAATTGAGTGGAGGAACAAATTCTGCCACCATCGTCCAAGAGGAATTCGATATACACACAAGATACAAGGGGAATTTATCAAAACATATCCTATTTAATATTTTTTTCTTTTTTACTATTCGAGCCGTAGTTATGAAGATTGGACTGAACCGGCGGTTTGATCGGACGGATTTAACATGTACCTTGATTGGTCTAATCCAGAGCAAAAAACAAGTTTAGTAAAAAAAATTGTCAAAATCAATGTTTGACAAATTTTGAATGGTTGATCGGCTTGGTTTCAACCCATTTGACTGGCCAAACAAAAAAGGCAACCTTCTTCTAAGATATCACATATTTTTAGACTATTGTTTTTTTTTTTTAATATTGTTGAAATCTGATCAAATTGGTTCAACCAAATATTGGATCAGTTTTGATTGACCCAGACACCTCATCAGTTCGGTAGCAAGTCCGGTCTTGATAACACTGATTCTAACTTAAAATCTAGTGGGTTTTAATCAGTACTTTGAAATTATTAAATAAAAACATGTGTAAAATGTTAATTAACATTATAGGTATATTTTCACAATTTTTCTACAAATAATATGAAGCAATGCAACGACATGAGAACTCAAAGTGAGAGAGATCTTTGGCCGCACATCTCCTCTCACTCTCACGCACACGCATCTCCCTTTCTTTTCTCTCTCTCTCACACACATGCATCTATCTATCTCTCATACACATGCAACTTTCTATTTCTCACACACATCTGTCTCCCCACAGACATCTCTCTCTCACACACACAATCAGGCTCTCATACATATCTTTCTTTCTCTTAGGGGCATCCCTCTCTTTCACTTGGGAGAGCGAGAGAAATGGGAATAAAGGGTGGATCTCCATCCCCTTTTAAAGAGATGAAAATGGGGGCAGATTTCTAATTCTAGAGATAGAGATGAAAAAAAAAAACAGAAATCCACCCCCTTTTGTGAGAAAGAGTATAAGAAAGGAAAATAAAAAGGTAGGGGCAGAAATCCATCCCTTTTGTGTAAGGGTATGTATGAGAGAGAGAGTACCGGGTTGCATTAAGTAGACAGAAAGTTCCTCCCCCATGAGAGAGAGAGAAAGAGAGATGAAAAAGGATGATGATAACCATCTTTGAAGAGGGAGATGAAATAATGGAGCTAGTGCTCCTCTTTTATTTTATTATAAAACATTTTCTCGGGGGTGCTGTCCATACTCGTCCAAGTACTATAAAAGTTCATTTATTGAGTGTTTTTTTGTTTGAGTGTTTTTTTTTTTTTCTGTCCCATCTAGATATTTGGGGTAGAGAGTGACCGGCTTGGAACCCACCCATGCGCCCCCTCCTTCAGCTTCACAATGAAGGACATGGTGTAGTTGGTATTTGGAGTGAGGTGAGAGGTTTTTGAAATTGAGAAAACTTTTTATTGGGGAATATAAATTTTTTTTTTTTTTATTTATTTCACCCCTTCATTTTGGTAAAAAGATCACTTACACATAGTCTTTATTATAATGACAAATAAATCAAAATAAAAACAATATAACAACAAAACTTTAACAACTTGATGCCATTGAAACAATTTATATTATGCTTGAGAATATAAATATTGAATTGCAAGAAATAAAAGGAGAAGATGCTAGAGATTATCTCAATCGGGCTTATTACACCCCACACTGAGTCACCACCATCCGATGGCGTGCGATCAACGGTCTAGCTTCAATCTCGAACCGAAAAAGCTAATTTCGATCAAACTGAGTATACACCTTTAAATCTCTACAAAACTCTAATCCCAAAATATTCTTGGCTTAAACCTAATTTCACAATCCTTAGTATTTTTAGGACAAGAGAGAGAAAGTGGGAGTCCTAGGGTTGAGGCATGCCCCTCTATAGGCTTAGGGGAGAGAGGGTTAGAGAGATAGAGGATTAGGGGAGAGAGGGTTAGAGAGATAGAGGACTAGGGGAGAGAGGGTTAGAGAGAGATTTAGAGCAGAGGGAGTAGGGCGTGCCCCTTTGGGAGAGAGGAGAGAGAAAGTTATAGGAGACATAAGGTGTAGAGAATAGGAGGGGGGTACACCCCTATTTATAGAGCAAAGTTAGATTTAAGGTTTTTTAGAGTTTCTCGTAGTTTGCCTCTTCCTTGAGATTAAATATAGACCGTTGATCAGGAAGACTTGTGGGATGAGAGATTTGAGCCACTATTCCACAGATTGATCATCAACATTATGGAAGGTGCATGAACCATTATCCCCCTTTTTTTAACTATTTTCTCATTATTAAAAAATAGATAAATTATATCTAATTAAAATATTATACTTTCCATTTCATAGCATAATCTTATTATAAAATATTCTAAAGATATATCAAGTTAATATATGCTATCATATTTGGATAAGATATAGTCAATATTTTCTATATTTTATTGGACCACATGCTACAAGATAAATTTACCAAAATTTAAATAACTTGATCTTAAAGCAATTTGACCGAGAAGAAAGCATGCAAGAGGTGGGGCGTGCCACCCATGTGTGGCACGTGTGGGCCCCACCCACTTGTCACATGGTGGGCCCTACCCACTTGTCACATGGTGGGCCCATTTGCATTATGAGCCCCCATGTAATTTTTAAAATTAAAAATATCTTTTAAAATATTTATTTGAATTTTATAGTTTTGTAAAATCAATATCTTTATTTTTATAAGTCCAAAAATTATAAATAAAATATCAAAAGACCCATAAAAATTCAAATAATAATTCTAAAATAATTTCTATCATAAAACAAACACTATTAAATTAATTTGATGAGAAATGAATCCATATGGTCTAGGAATTAGATCTGTAATTATAGGACACTCTACTTTCAACTGTGGACTACAAACCACATTTGCTTTATCGAATCGGCCCAGTATTTCTCATGAACCACAGTCCAAGCAGGTGCTCATTAGCGGGTCACCAAAGTCTGGCCGATGAGCCAAAGGTCGTAATTCCAGTATGTAGATTACATATCCTCCCCTAAAGACGAGTCAAAGTCATCACGACCTGATACGACTATAGCTCTATGGTGCATAGGGGTATCTCTCGCATATACATACACTGCACCCTAAAAGGTGGCTTTTTGACTTTCCTGAACGATCTATCGATATGCATGCTGTGTGATAGATCATGGATGAGGTTTTGGCCCCTGTCTCTGTAGGCCCACTATTACATACAAGGGTCACAAAGTCCCTCGGCTCACTCATCCAAGCATAAGCTCCGACCTCATCAAGGGATAACCTAGAACCCTTCACAGTTTATTCTCTATGCCCAAGTACCTTGGGTTTTTTTCCAATCGACTGGTCAAGATCGTCAAGCGCAGTCCGGTATCAATAACTATCGTTTGCTTAGTATGGTTCCCTAGGGACCACAACCCCACTGAGTTTTTGTTCCACTATAACAAATATTATTTATTACACACTCATAGGGCCTTTAAAGGCCACATAAAACCAACATCTCCCACTTGGCGTTTGAAGACATTACATTCTCTCTTCTTTACTTTCTCTCATCCGTATCTCTCTCACATGTCTTACAAAAACAATAAGGGCAACCCCCTTAGTCAGTGGGTCTGTAATCATCAAATCTGTGGGTATATAGCTGATCTCGATCTCTTTCAATTTCATATCATTTCTCAGGTAATAGAAATATGGCTTGATATTCTTGGAATTCTTGTGAAACCGAGGCTCCTTAAAAATGCAAATTGTCGTCGTGTTGTCATAGAAAATCTGTACTGCCTCACAACGTACAGGAAGAAAACTAAGCTGATTAAGAAACTTCTTAATCCATACGGCCTTCTTGGCTGCTAGACATCACACCACATACTCAGCTTTCCTGGTGGATAATGCCACTATATCTTGTTTCTTTGACTTCCAAGAAATTGCAACCCCTTCAAGCATAAACACATACCCAGATGTAGAATTCGCATCATTTGAATCCGCGAGATAGCTTGCATCTGAATACCCCTCTATTGCTATTTCAGTTCCCCCTTTATATGTGAGCGCATATTCATGGTCCATTTTAAATATCTGAGAATTCTCTTCACTACTTTCCAATGCTCCTATCCAGGATTGCTTTGAAAACGACTAACCAAGTTCATGACGAAGGATAAATCAAGCCTTGTTCCTGTCATGGCGTATATAAGGGACCCAACTGCGCTCTTGTAAGGCACTCTCTCCATGACCCTTTCATCAACATCATTTGTAAGACACATTTTATTGCTTAGCTTCGTCCTTTTGTCTATTGGGGTAGACACGGGCTTACACATACTTATGTCAAACTTTTCCAGTATCCTCTTACAGTAGGTTGCCTGGGAAAGTTGGATAGTCTTCTCTATCCTATTTCTTATTATCTTGATGCCCAACACATATGAAGCTTCTCCAAAATCCTTCATATTGAAGTGTTGTGCAAGGAAATTTTTCGTCTATACTACTAGAGCAATTGAGCTACTAACAATTAGCATATCATCCATATATAACGATATAAAGACCACATCACTCCCACTGACCTTTTGATATATACAATAATCCTCATTAATTGTAGAGAATCCTGCGAGAGCAAGAGTCTCTTGAAATTTAATTTTCCACTGATGCGATGTTTGTTTTAGGCATAAAGGGTTTTAGTAAGTTTATATACTAGGTTCTCTTTCCCTTTTTCTTTAAATCCCTTCGATTGAGTTATATAAATTTCTTCTTCTAAATCCCCATTTAGAAAAGCTGTTTTGATATCCATCGGTTGGACCTCAAAGTCAAAATGGGCTACTATAGCTGTAAGGATTCGAATAGATGAGAATTTGGCAATAGAAGAAAAAGTTTCCTCATAATCCATCCCTTCTTTTTAGGTAAAAACCTTTTGCAACCAACCTAACTTTGTATTTTCTATTTTCCCTTCTGAGTTCAACATTTTCTTAAAACTCCATTTAAAACTAACGACCTTACGTTTTTGAGGCAGATGTACTAATTCTCACACATGATTTTGGTTAATGGAAGTATACTCATCTTTCATTGCTGCTACTCAGTATTCTCTTTCAGGATAGAACAAAGCTTCATGGTAAGTTTTAGGCTCAGAATCTGGATTTTCCTCAATTCTATCAAAATGTTCCCAAAGGTAGACAAATTGTTCTAGATATAGAAGTGGTCAACTGATTCGGTTGCTTCGTCTTGGTTCAGGTTGAGGTTCACTTTCTTTAGGGAGTTCAAGTTCAGATTGGGACTGTTTTGAAGTTTCAGGTTCGAGTTCTCGAATCACATCCTTGTTTTTCTCCACCTCATAGAAGTCAATTTATTTTCTACTTACCCTTGCTTCTAGGAATTCTTCCTCGAAAAAGCGAGCATCACTGCTCTTAATGACCGCTCAAGCGAGTCAAGGGGTCACAATCCCAATCTGTGAATTATAGGTCATTCCTTAGGGACGAGTCAATGTTACCACGACTTGATGCGACCATAGCTCTATGGTGCATAGGGGTATCTTTCGCACATGCATATGCTTCACCCTAAAAGGTGGCTTTCTGGCTTTCCCGAACGATCTATCGATATGCATGCCATGTGATGGATCATGGACGAGGTTTTGGCCCTCGTCTTTGTAGGCCCACCATGACACACAAGGGTCACACAGACCCTCGGCTCACTCATCCAGGCATAAGCTCCGACCTCATCAAGGGATAACCCAGAACCCTTCTCGGTTTATTCTCTATGCGCAGGTACTTTGGGGTTTTCGCAACCGACTGGCCTAGATCGTCAAGCGCAGTCCAGTATCAGCAAACGTCGTTTGCTTAATATGGTCCCCGAAAGACCACACTCCCACTGAATTTATGTTCCACTATAACAAATGTCTTTTATTACACACTTATAAGGCCTTTAAAGGCCACATAAACCCAACAATTTCCAACTTTCCAGTGACATCTAGCCATCAACTCTACCACTTCAATATTTGGATAACTACATTATAGCGAAATACATATTATTGGAATAATTTCATGGCCGGAGAGCATATAGAGATCTCTCTCTCACACACACACACATGAACACAAACATTCTAATGTTCACTTGGTGCGGCACTTATTCATTCCAAGCTCTGTAATAAGTGACAGAGATAGATATGGCAATAAGGGTGGGAATGGGTTCGGGTCGGGTCTGGTCCAAGCTGACCTAATTAGTTATAAGTTGGATATGCACTTGGATCCGGGTCCAAGGGATGGGTCCAATCCATAAATAAAAATATAAAAACATATGATAATATATTCTCTATTGTATACTTAATATTAGTAATGTGTATATATAATATATACAATGTCGGATCGACCCCAACCTGACCTGACAGGATTTCAATTAGAACTGGACCCGAACTAGACTAGCATCAGGTCAATATTGAATGGGCCAAGACACTACCATTGGGAGCAAAACTGGACCTAGTGGGGTCGCTTACCCAATTGCCAACCCTAGATGAAGGTGGACCATTCAAGAATTTTGTCAAGGTACTCAAATATGGGCGGTTGTGGCAAATGATTTGAGCATCTCTCTCGTATTGTTCTGGTATGTGTCCATGAGTGCGAGTTTATACATCTGGTTAAGCCATCGCCAGTAACGATGGTCATCGCCCCAAACAATCGAATGGTCTCTTGCAAACACCAAGAACCAGTTGGCACCCGATTCCTCATCAACCCAATATTTCTGCAAAATAAAAAGCAGTTTTCAAAGGTCTAGCTTTAGCAGCGGCCAAAAACTCGTCATGGATCAGAATTTGGCATGTGCCAGAGATGAGTAAGCCCGAGTCCGAGTGGAGTAGCCTGAATATTTATCAGTTCAAATTTACAAAATAAAACTACAGTATTTGCAAAAATAAAAGAAGGGTAGAATTTTAAAAATGTTAAACCACAAAAATCATAAAGGAATATATTAATAAATCATTATTAGCAATTTAGTAATAAAATAAATGATTTTTGTGAGTATTTTATATGGCCCAATTGTGTATGTTGCTTTTGTTGGAGACCCGGGCTGAATAACTCAACGGTGTGGAGTAGAATCTGCCAAGTGTCAAACCCTTGTTTTTATGCATCTTATTTGTATATTTTTTCTTTTTTGTTACTTCTTTTATTCTTGCCTTCCGTTTACCCAATAAAATTAAAAACATGATAGGCCATTGTGTTTCATAGACACTGATAAATGTGTTAGTATCTGATATGAATATAAGTGTCAAAATCACCAAACTCTAACTTGGCCTTTCAAACGCCATATATTTATACTCCATCGAGAAAGGAAGTAAACTTTAGATGACATTAAGTAATTTTACAATATAATATAAAAAACAGAGGTAAAAAAAAAAATGTCTGAATTTCTAAAATATCAGACACGAGCGTCTTATCCTTAATATGTGAACACATGCGAAAACCTGTTAATAGACAAGTTTGTAATATGGAGATAGGCGCCAACCTTTTTCTTATTGTCCAAGAACAGTCCTGAATAGAGGCATGCATAGACCTCTTCAATACTTGTACACTGCAACTCTAGCTATGATGTTCTTAGTTATGGGTATCCCCGCTTAATGCTCCCCTTCCTGGGCCTTATAACCGAACCGCACCTCTAATGAAAAGTCCACTTTTCCATCTACTGTCTTTGGTTTGCATCATAGAGAATTATGTCTTTCTTTACTCCTTCTCCACCCACATGAATCTCCATCCACTTTCCCCTCTCCTTTTCTTCTAGCTTTTGTGTGTGTGTTTTCTCCATTTGTTGGCACAAGGGAGACTAAGTGTGACATCTTGTGCTTCCCACCCGTGAGAGCATCACAACAATGTAGTCTACGCCTGGAGAGAGCCATGATGCATCTATCTTTCCCTCACCTCAACCCAGCACACATTAAGAAGCTCGGCTATTTCGATCTCTGGATGGCTGTGAATTCAAAAGAAAAATAAATAAATAAATATATTGGGCGATTCGATTTGGATTTCCCTTAGTCACTTATGCTCAGCATCATGTGGAGCCTGCAGCCCAACCTACATGAACCAGCTGTGTTTGGCCTGTTTTTGTATTTTATTATTTATTTGTTGAGGCTCATTCTATTCTATCCAAAAAGAAAGTTATATAGGGTGATGACTTTAGTAATTTACACCATTCAGTTTATAGGTTAATGTAGGTTTGACAATGCCTAAACTAACACACAACCTCTAAATGGTCCAACTAAAATAAAAAGTGCAAAATACCTTGGCCGTATTTATACATTTAAGGATGCCACCTTAGACACCCGTCTTATCGGACACAACTTTTTTTTTGAACGGTACATTAAATATTTTTTCAGTATAATATAAAGAGTAAGATAAAAAAAAAAGCATCTAAATTTCTAAAATATCGAACAAGAGTGTCTTATCTTTAAATTTTATTTTACGCAACTTGGACGAGGGATCCTCTTGAGTCTCGATCCAATTCCTTGTTTTCTTAGGCTGTTTACAAGAAAACCACAAAAATCTTAAACCAATTAAAACCTGCAATATTTCCTCACCCTGATTCTGGCAAAGGTATCCAACGCCAATAACGGTCATCTTCACCCCATACTATCTTTAAATCCCTAGCATGCAAAATGAAGCAATTTCCTCTGGATTCCTCATCCACCCAATATCTCTAAAAAGAGCCAAAACAAGTACAGATTTTCAATTGATGAACACTATGAAGCCCAATTCACCCAAATATTATCATTTTATGAGTAAGGGAAAAAAAATTTCTCACACGTAGGTGATGCACTTGTGAAATTCCTAGTTTTACAAAATTTTTACAGAACTAAGAGAGAGACTGCTTAAGAAAACACCAGATGAAAGAGAGAGAGAGAGAGAGAGAGAGACACCTTCTTACGACTGCTCAAGAAAACACCAGAGTAGAGGAGTGTCCAAAGCTCATCAATGGTCTCGTGGTGTACATGGGAGTCTGCCTCGGCCAAGATGGCCTCATACTTATGCGGCTGCTTCTTGCTGCTCTCTTCCTTTCTCGAAATAGGGGGAACAATGGGAACCAAGCACCCGCGTCTCATTTTTCTGAAATATTTTTGAGAGATAGCACCAAGTGTAGGCTGCTACAATAGGGCAAGAGCAATATTTATAATGAGGAAAAGTACACAAAATAGACCATTTATTTTTATATTAGTAGTCATTGACAGGATTTAATGAGGTGACTGTAAGAGTGATATTGACTATATTCAAAATTCAAAAATAAAAAATTTTTGAATTTTATAACACATTTTTACCATGTAAATTAAGCTTATAAATTTTTACATGACCCAATATAATTTTTAACTATGACAAATTACCTAGTTGCACTTAACCTAAACAATGCCCAAGCATTTTCCACCAAATGTGAAAGAGGAATTCGAGATACACAAAGTATTTTTTAATATGTGACTATTTATATTTTACATGTTTTTATTATTTGAACCGTAGTTATAAAGATCGGATTGAATTGACGGTTTGATTGGTCGAACTGCCAATAAATGCCTTGACTAGTCTAGTCCTGAGTAAAAAATAAGTTTAATAACCTGTTAAAATGGGGTTTGCTGATTTTTAATCAATAAAGGTTGCTTACCTGCACTTGTATATTTGCTTACCTAAACTTGTATAATATTGAATAGAATAGAAGGTGAAAATGCAGACATATAAACAGATGTATACCCTTTGCTCTCCAGCTGGATGGTTGAGATGGACCGTTACTTAATCAACTTAGTCAACATTCATACAAGCATAGGAAGGGGAAATCTTGACTCTCTCGCTCAGTAGAGAAGGTGGAGACGACGCGGAGCATGTTGTCCCTATCGTATACTTAATAGCTAGGCGTAAAGTTTTTATGTTTTCCGTATCGTATAGAAGTTCTATCTTCCTCCTTATCCAACGGTCCATTTTGAATAGAGGGTTAAGATTGCCCCAATCACAATGTCATGTCTTTACACTATTTTATTTTTAATTTTTTTCTATAAACTGTTTTGACATCAAATTTTGGACATCCATTCATCTATTAAACTGGCACTAGAAAAAAAATATAAATAAATATTTTCATTAAAATAAAATGACCAAAATATCTCTGAAAGTTTCAAAGGGTATTTAGGTTATTATATTTTATCAAAAAATTATTTTTAATAATTTTTATAAGTACACCCCAATGAGAAGATGACACGTACCAAATTTTATACTCATATAATTTGTATAAAAAAACTAAAATAAAATACTTTGAAACATCGGATCTAAGATCAAACAGTGAGCGGCTCTCTTGATCAAAATTGGACGGCTGGATGGTAGGGGGAGGATAGAACTTCTATGTTGTAGGGGGAGCATAGAAAGCTTGCCCCATAGATATTGGGTGTGGTTTCTACAAAGTTGCAACCTTAAACAATCCAATTAAGGCGCACCTTCAAATTTGATCATAAATTGAAATTTTGGTATAAAAAATTGTTAGGATTCTCTGAAAATCTATTTTTATATCTAATTATAAAATTTTGAACTTCAAAAATGGTTAAAATAAAGTAGATATATAAATATATGAAAATCTTGAAAATGAACGGTTTAGATAATATGTTTTAGGATGCACTACTTCTATGACTCAAAATATTTTTTTTTTTTTTTTTCATATTTATTCATCTCGATGTCGAGATGATCAATTCGAGGTTTTTTCAACATTAAAATATTTTCTTATGGATTTTTGAGGTGCATCTGTAAATCTACATTTTAAAGTTGCAACCTTATATAAACTTTTTTCATGGATATATTTTCTGTTTCTTTTTCTTTTCAATGGTAGCAAGTATAATTTCCTTTTTTTTAAAAGTGATTTCGATTTTGACTTAATCAAAGTCTTTTTTTAATTTTATTTTATATAAATTAGTGGGTAGTGTTACCTACCGCAAAACTATTTGTAAAAAAATTTGGTTGGGGTAATTTGCATAGAAAGTCTAGTCTTGGGATTTATTTGTAATTTTTTGAAAAAGAAATTTGAAAGGGAGAAGCCATGACATCTTTTCGTTTGATTTTGGATAACTCTATCCATTAAGACGGAATTAAAAATGACTTTGGAGTCAAAAATAGAAGTCACTGGATGATTTTTTAAAGGAAGAGGCCATGGCATCTTTTCGTTTAATTTTGGGGCAGGTAACTCTACCATTAATTTATACAAGACAGAATTAAAAACGGCTTTGGTTAAGTAAAAAATAGAAGTCACTTAAAAACTAAGGAAATTATACTTAGCTACCATTGAAAAAAGAAAAAGAAAAAGAAAAAAAAAAAATCTAATCAGTAAGGAAATTTTATTGATTAATATCAGGGTACCTAGTTTATCCCATTTTTAATATATTACATGTTTTTGGGCGGTTTCATCCCGTTTGACTGGTCAAACAAAGGGGGCAACCTTTTTTTAATGTATTGCATATTTTTATACTATTGATTATATTTTCTTAACATTATAAAAATCTGATTAAATCGGTTCAACCAACTGTTGGATCAATTTTGACTGGCCTAGACCACTTATCGATTTGGTAGTAAGTTGGTCCTGATAACACTGATTCTAACTTAAAATCCAGTCGGTTTTAATGAGCAATTTGAAATTAAATCAAAACATGTATAAAATGTTAAATAATCAAATATCTTAAATCCATTTTTATAAATTTCTATACAAAACAATGCAATGAAATGAGAACTGAAGGTGAGAAAGATATTTGGCCACACCTCTCTCTCTCTCACGCGCATCTCCCTCTCTTTTCTCTCTCTTACATGCCTCTTTCTCCTTCTTTTTTCTCTCTCACCCACATATGCATCTTTTGCTCTCACACATCTCTCTCCCCACATATCTCTCTATCTCTCTCTCAAGCTCTTACTTGGATCTCTCTCCTATGAGCATCTCTCTCTTTCTCTAGGTGGAGAGAGAGAGAGGAAAAAAGGGGCACAACTCCAACCCTCTTTTGCGAGTGAGAGTAGGAGAAATAAAATAGGTGGGGTGGAAATCCCACCCCCGTTGTGTGTCTAAGGGAGAGAAAGAGAGAAAATCTGGTTGCATTAAGTAGAGAGAGTTCCTTGCTTGAGAGAGAAATGAAAGGGAGAATGATAACGAATTTTTTAGGGAGAGATAAAATAAGAGAAAATTTTGTATAGAATTCTAATTCATCGTATTATTTCATATTAGACTTTCATTCCGTTTATCTTTCAAGCACTATAAGAAAGCCTCTACAATTTCACCATACCCTTTATCTTTTATCTCTCTCTTTTATTGACTTTTGACTATAAAAATTAATTTTAATAAATTTTTTTATACCATTTCAATCCAAAACCCTTTTTAACCATATTTTTCTCTCTCCACCCATTAAAAAAGTTTTTGAGTTGAAATGATATAAAAAGATTTATTAACGCTAATTTTTTTGGTCAAAAGTTAATAAAAAAAAAAAGATAAGATATGGGAGAGGTACGGTGAAATCGTTAGGGATTTACTTATGCCGCATGAAAGAAAAACAGGAAGAGAGTCTACCATGAAATAATATGATAAATTAAGATTTTATACGAAATTTTTTCAAAAAAATATGGGGGCGGTGCTCCACTTTTTTTTATATACGGGTTTGTTATCCATACTTGCCCAACTACTATTAAACTCGAGGTTATTTACTTGAGTTTTACATAACGCGGGCAATTTTCAGCGTACCCAGGTACCCGAGTGGTACATATAGTCAAGGCCGAGTAACTCAACCAAATTTGAACCTACTCAACCGAGTCTGCTAGGTTTCCCTATACACAGTATGAAGCAATGCAACAAACAAAGGATTCCATATATTGTTTTATTCATATTCCTGAACTAAGTGGTTGGGCAGCGTACTTAAAATTCAGATTCCTGAACTCTTAAAATAAGTTTATTGAGCCAAATGTCATGGTCAAGGAAGTAACAACTAGCGTTGGAAGGAGTACGATATGGGATATTAGACTCAAATGCAGAGTGGATGATATTACAGGGGATAACTTTTGTGACATTCATGGCAGCTTCTATTGTTTTCTGGAGAAATGATGAGGTAGTTTGGGAGTTCAACCCTTCAAGCCACTTTTCAATCAAATTTCTTAATAATTAAGGGTGTGATTTTTATAAGGTTGCAATTTTAAACAATAGGCACACTTCTCGACTTTATCATAGGATGTAATTTTGGTATTGAAAATTCTTAAGATAACTTGAAAATCTATTTTTATTTCTGATTATTAAATTTTAAACTCAAAAAGTAATTTAAATTAAATAAATCTATTAATGCATGAAAATCTTGAAAGTGGACAATCTATAATAGGGAAAGCATAGGAATAACATGAAAGTTTCCTAATCATCCAAGATTTATTAATGTTTTTGTTGTTCCTTATAAATCCGTCCTTTTCTCTCTCTCAAAGGTTTGGATTGCAAGCGATAATTTCTTACCTGTAGCTTTTTGCTTATCCTGTATCTCTCCCTAATTTTTTACAGTTTTGAAAAGTTACCAGTTTTTTTTTTTTTGAATTTTGACCAATTTTAATTAATTTTATCATTTAATGAATGACTTGGTATTCTTAAGTAATTTATTTTTTAAAAAAGGTAGGATCAATAGTTTGTCAGACCGGTTTGGACCGAATCAGGCAACTTGTCGGTTCCGCCACCATTCCTATCATATTGGTCAATAATGACTAGGGGTACAATAGGTCGGACCTAGGGCCAAACCCTACTAGATCTGGATCCGGACTCGAACCCAGACCCGATCCAAAAATTAAAATATTTATGTATTTAATTATATTTAAATATATCGCATATATTATATTGGGACCGGAGAATATAATAATAATAATAATAATAATAATAATAATAATAATAATAATAATAATAATAATAATAATAGAGAAAAAAAATCCAATCTTCAAAATAGATTTTAAAAGGGGCCTGACTCATAGAAACACCATCCTTAAGTTAATGAAGAAATAAAGTTATAGACAAAAAGTTTTTTTAAAAAAGATAAAATACAAATTCATATCGGCTCAATTAAAAAATTACGATTTTTTTAATATCTTTTAAAAAACTCGAAGCCCAAAGTCAAATTTTTTTTTAAAAAATCATGTTTTATACAGAGACTTGCTAATTATATTCTAGACAACGCATCAATGTGTAAACACATCAACATTAAGAGATTTGAGGATACAGGAGAAAGGGAAGGACATAAAATAATACTTATATTTCCTTGTGAGGAGTGTAATCTCATAGTTACATGCTCTAGACTCCTTTTATATATATATATATATATATATTTATTGAAATAACTGCTATTTATACTTTTGTATGAGCTAGTGAGGTTACAGGAAATGTATATAAAATCAGTACACCTTCGTTCCCTTGAACAAAAGCTGGACCTTACTAGTAGCCCTCACCCTCCTAGAGAGAGAAACAGAGTCCATCCTGGGCCTTAATGCTCAGACCCTCTTGGGTTTATAACCACAACTTTGTGCTCGCATTCTTGGGCCTTATAACCGCACCTTTAATGAGAAGCCCACTTTTCCATTTACCCTCTTGGGTTTGCATCATAGAGAACTCTAAGTCTCCCTTTTCTTCTTGTCCAATGTGAAAAGCACCCACCTGAATCTCCATCCACTTTCCCCTCTCCATTTCTTCTAGGTTCTGTGTCTGTGTTTTCGCCATTTTCATTTTGTTGGCAAGAATAAAGCTAAGTGTGACATTTTCTTCTTCCCACCCATGAGCTTGCGCACTGAGCTTCATAATGAAGGCCACAATGTAGTCCATCCCTGGAGTGAGCCATGATGCATCTATCTTTCCCCTCACCTCAAACCAGCACACTTTAAGAAGCTCGGCTATTTCGATCTCTGGTCGGCTGTGAATTCAGAAGAAAAATAAATAAACAAATTAGGCGAGTCCATTTGGATTTGCCTCTGTCAGGCTCTGCATCCTGTTGAGCTTGGAGCCCACCCAACTTACAGGAACCAACCAAGATTGGCCAGATTTAATATTTTATTATTTATTTGTTGAGGCTCATTCTATTCTATCTGGAAAGAAAAGTCGCATAGGGTGATAACTTTAGTAATCTACACCGTTCAATTTATAAGTCAATGTAGATTTGACAACGCCTAACTGACACAACAACTCTACCTACTCCAACTAAAATAGAAGGTAAGAAATACCACAACCATATTTATACAAGGACCTATGCGGCCATGCCCGCATATGTGGAAATGCGGGCCTCTTAATAAATCTATTTTTGAGATGGATTTTAAGACTTAATTTTTAAAGACATGTAATCTCTAACATAGAGATCATGAATATGAAAAAATAAATAAATTTTAAAGACTAAAAATAATAATTCTAGCAAGAAAACATTTGGACCGTTAATTTCCATTGCTTTTATATGGAACACCTACTTGCATCCATCTTTAACATGGGTGCTTTAAACCGCATATGTAGAAATGCGATCCAGCCTGCATGAAACAATTTTATTTTATGTAATTAAGGATGTCACGTTATATAACTTGTACCCATCTTATCATAAACAAAATTATTTTTTTTTAACAATACATTAAGTACTTTTACGGTATGATATTAAGATCATAGGAGAGGACAAAAAGAAATATCTAAATTTCTAAAATATCATGAGTGGCACACTCAACTTGGGCTCAGGGATCGTGGCATGTCTCGACCCAATTCCTTGTTTTCTTACACTGCTTACAAAAACCACAAAACCTTAAACCAAGTAAACCTTATAATATTTCCTCACCTTGAATCTTGCAAACGCATCCAACGCCAATAACGTTTGTCTTCACCCCATACTATCTTTAAATCCCTTGCCAACAAAAAGAAACAATCTCCTTCGGGTATTCTCATCCACCGAATATATCTAAAAAGAGCCAAAAACAAGTAAAGAATTTCAATTAATGAACACTATGAACGCTAATTCACCCAAATATATTCATTTTATGATCAATGAAAACTTCAAATTCTCTAACATAGGTGGTGACGGACGTGTCAAATTCCACACTTTTACAAAAGGACCCGTTTCTGTGCGGCATATGTCGAAATGTAGGCCTCTTAATAAATCTACTTTTTAGATAGATTTTAAGACTTAATTTTTAAGGACATGTAATCTCTAACATGCAGATCATGATTATAAAAAAAATAAATAAAATTTAAAAATTAAAAAAAATAAGTCTCTCAAAAAAATATTTGGACCATTAATTTCCATTGTTTTTAGATAGAACACCTACTTACATCCATTTTTTAAGATGGATGCTTTACACATAGAAATGCAGTCCAGCCAGCATGAAACAATTTTCCTTTACAAAATTATACAGAATTACTATAAAGAGAGAGAGAGATACTGTCACCTTGACAGCTTAAGAAAATATCAGATTAGAGAGAGAGACAGATTAGCACCCACACCTGCGTTCCACTGCTCAAGGGAACACCTGATTTGAGGTGTTCCCAAAGCTCATCAATGATCTTGTTGAGTAGTATAAAGAGATTATTTATTTTTGGTATAAGTCGCAATCACTTTTGTTGTAAGGATTCCAAATGTGGTGGTTGTAAAAGCCTCATCGATTAGTTTCAAAATTTTTTAAAAAAATTCTCGAATTAAACAATGCCCAAGCATTTTCCGCCAAATGTCAAATGGCCGTCACTTGGCCAAATGGAAAAATACCCCTTCTGCCAGCTTTGGCAAGATGAGTTTTACAGGCATGAGGAATTTCAAGTTCCATATAGGGTCATAACTGCTACTTTCTTACTGTTTTAAAATTTTAATTATAGGAAGTACACCAGAGGATAAAAAGAAGGGGGAAGTTGCTGCGCTTTGATGATGCGCTTGGAAAATGAGGGAATAGAATCGAACATGTTCTCCCACCATCATCGAAGAGGACAAATACTATGCTTTGAGCATCCGCCTGGTGAGTGAATAATATTGAGAGGACGAACAAATTCTCCCACCATCGTTCAAGAGGAATTCAAGTTACACGCAGAATATTAGCGGAATTTAACGAAAGGAAAAACTTTATATAAAGGGTGAGGCTCTAAACAATCAAAGTAAGAAGAATTCAATTGAAGAGGTTGTTTTAATTATCAAAACTCCTTAAGTAGATCATCTACGCATTAAAATGTATGGACGAGAGATAATATGGATTTCAAGTTTTGAAAATAGTATATCTTGTGATGGATTTTTTGGACAGTCAATTTTTAATATTTTCAAGTGTTCATAGGTTTACTCGATCTGCTCTACTTTTTAACCTTAAAATCTTATAATTAGATATAAAAATGAACTTATGGGCAATCACAAAGATTTTCAATACTCAAACAACATCTTTCAACACTATTTAAAGGTGTGTCTTACTTTAATTGTTTAGGGCCTCAGCCTTATACAAAATATATATCTTAATATGTGAGTATCTAATATTTTATCCTTTTTTTACTATTGGAACCATAGTTATCAAGACCAAACTGAATTGGCAGTCAGATTGGTTAAACTGGTATGTGCTTGACCTTTCTAGTCTAAAGTAAAAACTAGGTTTGATAAAATAAAATAAAATAAAAAATTATCAAAATCAATATTTGACCAATTTTAGGCAGTTTCAACCTGTTGGATTGGTCAAACAAAATGAGCAATATTTTTCTAGTATATTATATTTTTAAAAAAAATTGTTAAAATCTGGTCAAACCGGTTCAACCAATTGTTAGACCAGTTTTAATTGGCCTAGACACCTCATTGATTCGGTGGTACATTCGATCCTGAAAACACTTATTCTAATTTAAAATTTGGTGGGGTTTAATGAGAAATTTGAAATTAAATAAAAAATGTGTAAAATGTTAAATAATTAACATCTTAGGTACATTTTCATAATTTTTATCTACTATATGTTAAGCGAGAAGGAGACCTGCACTATTTTTATTACAGGTGTCCCACTTTTTATTTTTCCTCTTTCAAAAAAACAGGTCAATCAATATTTCTCATTTTATAAGTTTCAAAGCCAAAGGTTCCATCTCCTTAAATTTCTCCAACAATCTCTCTCTTGCGCTCTTTTCAAAAATTTCAAAGCCAAAAGTTCCCAGCTCCTTAATTCTCTCCAACTCTCTCTCTTTAAATTAAATGATATCAACCGTAATTTCTTTTTCTCACATTTCTTTCTTTTTTTTTTCTCTTGTTTTTTAATATCACATTTCTTTCTCCCCTCTCAATCATCCCTCTCTCCTTAAATCTCTCTCAAACTCCTCTTAAATATCTTTTTCTTTATATCTCCCCTCCCCCTTTTCCTCCCACCTGCCCTCTCTCTCTATGCAAAGGCACACTCTCTCCTTTTGTCTCAAATGTTTCTTACCATATCCGCCATTTCCCTTAGTCAGTCTCTATTTTCTATCTTATTTTGTCTTATTCAAATTTTGACTTCTTTTTTTGAAACGCTACCAAATTTTGCACACTATTTTGAAAGTTTAGGTCACAAAATGAGTTTTTCTTATTGATTGTAGTTTGGTACTATATTTATTTGTGTCGTTTTCTATTTCACCTAATTATATTTTATTCATTAAATATCTAAATTTCATTTATTATGTAAATCAGAAATAAAGAAAATTATTATTTGGCTTGAGTAATTGTAGTCGACTAATTTGAACAATGATAATAGTATTTTCCAATGGTTTAAAAAACGGATCGGTGACCCGGATCGGGCTCCCAAAAAACCGATCCGGATCGGCGAATCGGCGATCCGGATCGAGAATCGGGTGAATCGGTCAGAGTAAAGCTTAAAAAAAATAAAAAAAAAATTATTAAAATTCATTATAAATATTGTTTTTTAGGAATTCAATAAGAAATGAGTGTACTCCATTAAGAATTTTCATGTTTTTGAATGAATATGCGAATATTGATATGTTCTTTCCCTGCATGAACCCCCATTCAGCATTTAATTAACATCACACAAAAGGATAAACATAGAATTATCATGGAATAAGTATATCAACATACATGGACTACAATAAAGTATAAAATTAGTAACATATGATCTAAAAATAAAATGATAGACGACGTTATTGTTCTTCTTGGTCACGCTGGTGCCATTGATTGAATTCGTTTAACAATTCATTGATTCGATCTAAAAACGAATCTTCGAAATTAGCAGGCGCCTGACTATTCCCAAATCCCTGAGTGTTAGTGTTTTGTTGTGTTTCCAATCTAAAATCCCTGAAGATTGTCCATCCTTCATGCTCACCTGCACTGTCGTGCTCATCCCTACACTGTTGCTGTTGGGACTCGATATGTGAATAATATGGCTGGGATAGGGTGGCCTCAAAATCATCTCTCTCATTTTCTCTTTGAATAATATGGAATTAAAAAAAAAAAAAAAACGTAAATTTTCAAAAAAATCGTTCATGGATTAAAAAAAAAAACTCACAAATTTTCAAAAAATTCTATCATGGATTACAAAAAAAAATTCGATCATAGGATTAAAAAAAAA